ACTTCTCATTCAACAAAAATGAGAGATTTACAACATTAGGATATGATACCAGTTGAAAATTAAAGAAAATTTTTAGAGTTTTTTTTTGTGGCTTGGAAAACTTTTAGTAATACTTTTATGTTACATGGCATTTTAATATATCAATTTAGCTATAACTTTGGAAACTAAAATTTTAAGTTTTTGCTCTGGAAGGAGCAGTATCATTTCTTTCCAGAAATTCTGGTGGGTAACTTGATGATTTGACACTAGAAATAATGGGACAAGAAAAACAGCCTGATTTGACAGAGAGGCCCATTTTAACTTTTGTTGGTATTCACTAAGGTTTCTCACATAAGTACATGTGATAACTTTTAAAATGTCCGATACTGGAAAAAGCAGTTTTGAGAGCTTTAAAGTGTTAGCTCTCACTTAAATATCCTGAAATATCCTCCTGAGATGGCTTGCTAATTCCTAGAGTAGTTCCCTGCCTCACACTCTGTCAATTTGGGAAATTAAAAAAAAAAAAAAAAAAAATCCATCCTGACAACACAGCCCATAAAATTTTCCCTTCATGTCACTCTTCAGTACCATCTCTGCCTTATGAGATTGGATTCTTCATTGCCCCACTCCTGTTATATGACACTGGTCCTCTAAAAGGTCTCCTGCCACCAGCCCTACCCCTACCCATCTCCTGCAGTCAGAGAAATCTTTTCCGAACCTTAATCTGATTTCTCAACTTAAAACAAGATAGTTCCCCTGACAGGCAGCATAATAGTATTTCTCAAAACAATATCTGAGAACTTCTACAAAAAATTTAAATGTTATTCCTTTTTTATAATGATAAATTAACAAGCATACTCTGGCTCCCCAGCATGGATATCTTGTAACTGTGTAAAATACTAAAAATACTAATAGTGCTTGCCTGTCCATGCTATATATTTTTTTTTTCCTGAGACAAAATCTCACTCTGTCGCCTAGGCTGGAGTGCAATGGTGCGATCTCAGCTCAGTGCAACCTCCGCCTCCTGGGTTCAAGCAATTCTCCTGCCTCAGCCTCCTGAGTAACTGAAATTACAGGAATGTGCCACCACGCCTGACTAAGTTTTGTAATTTTTTTTTTTTTTAGTAGAGACAGGGTTTTGCCGGGTTGACCAGGCTGATCTTGAACTTCTGACCTCAAGTGATCCACCTACCTGGCCTCCCAAAGTGCTGGGATTACAGGCGTGAGCTGCTGCGCCCAGCCGTTTTTTCTTTTTCTTTTCTTTCTTTCTTTCTTTTTTTTTTTTTTTTTTGAGGCAGGGTCTCATTTTGTCATTCAGGCTGGAGTGTAGCAGTGCAGTCTTGGCCCACTGCAACCTCTGTGTCCTGGGCTCAAGCGATCCTCCCACCTCAGCCTCCCAAGTAGTTGAGACTAGAGGCATATGCCACCATGCCTGGCTAATTTTTGTGTTTTTTGGTTGAGGTAGGGTTTTGTCATATTGCATAGGCTGGTCTACTGGGCTCAAGTGATCATCCTCCTGCCTTGGCCTCCAAAGTGCTGGGATTGAAGATGTGAGCCACCCATGCCTGGCCACATCTTGTTTTTTCTAATGAAACATTTGTTTCTTAAACTGATCCAGGACACATAACTATGTTCTCAGAGGCATTTTCCTTTTGAAGAGATTCAGCTATTACTTACTTGTGAGAAACAGTGGCTGACAGGACGAGATCCAAATACCCGAATGTGTAAGAAGAGCCCTCTGAGATCTGCCTTGCCCATTCTTTGTACCTGTACTCTAGCCCCTGAGTGACAGGCAGCCCCTGGATAAGCTAGGCCACATCAAGCATTTGCCTTCTTTTTCTTAAGCTGGGCTTTGTCAATGATCTTTCCCTTTCTTCACTCTGCTTGCCCTGAGCATATAATTCTCTGTAGACTCAGTCTTTCCTGATGACAGCTACAAGGAAAACTCCCATGTCTCCCATCTTGGCTATAGTTAATCTTCACACAGGGAATTGCGTCACTACAAAACTATCCCCAAAATTTGATGGCGTAAAACAACGTTTGTCATCAGCCAGTTTCAGTGGGTCAGGAATCTGGGTGCGCCTTAGCTGGGTACAGTGGCTCTGCATCTCTCATAGTGGACTGTGCTTTCTAATAACTCACATGGTTGTTGGATTGAGGTCTCAGTTCCTCACTACCTGTTGACCAGGAGCCTTCCTTTGTTCCTGAACTCACAACAGGACAGCTTGCTTCACCAGAGCAAGCAAGCAAGCAAGCAAGCAGGAGGGTAAGAGAGAATACTAGAAAGAGAGAGCATTTCATAGTCTTTAATGACATAATCACAGCAGTGACACTTCACCTGCTCATTAGAAGAAAGGTGCTAGTCCAGCCCACACTTCAGGGCAGGGAGTGATGTACTAGGCAACTGGGATTACTGGAGACTGTCTAAGTAATCTGTCCACCATAGCCTGTAGGATACCTTAGGGTAAGTATCCCTAAGGATAGGCCCAGGTGAGGAAGCTGTGGGCTGTGGAAGGGTGCTTGTCTTCTCAGTCTTGTTTCCCTGACTCTCATGGTGTAGACATCTTGATGCCATGACAGTGATTCCAGGGTTTAAAGAGAGGTATATTTTAAATAATCTGGCTCTTAAATATCATTTGAAAGTCAACTCCCTCGTCTGATCTTCAGCTGAAGAAAAAATGATCTATTTTAGTGCTAGAAGAAGAACTCTGTGTTGGACTTACTAAGAAAAGGTAATATAGCTCACTGAGATAGTACATTCCTAAGAGATTTGCAAATTTAATTTTTCTGGGTTTATAGCCTGAATTTAACTTCTAACCTGGAGTATGATGAGAGTCTTCTGGATTTTCAAATGTGATCCCTATTAAACTGCTGCACTTTGTTTACTTGCTTTTCTTTGAGCAGTGAGCTACTTGACACCCTAGTCCTTGCCCAATTCACTTCTTACATCAGTATTCTGGCTCTCAATATTCTTAAAAATGTGTACTAATATTTTTCTGTAGTCAATATATTCCGTACTAAATTTGCTAGGCATTGCCAGGGTTTTAATAGTTGGGAATTTTTCAGGTCTTTTTCTGGCATATATACTTAAAAGGAGTGACCTGGGGCTATGATACCTGTAATTTTTGTGTTATTTTTCTAGGTAGTCAAGGCATTAACAGTTTTTGCCCTTGGGTCAAAGTTCTCTACTTTTCTTTCCACAGCTTCTAAATATTTCTTCCTTTTGAGTCAAGGGAATTGCCCTGATTTTATGATGACATTTGGGTACGATATTTAAACTGTTAAAAGTTATAAAAACGACCCTTTGGTATTAAATGTAATAAGTGACTCTGAATTGAATACATGCACAGGTTTCTCCTAAATGAACTTTGTGAGTCCAACTGCTCTAGTTATGTATTCTCATTGTAATTGGATTCTATGACATTCTCTTATCCCCCAGGAGTATGCCAGGCCATGAAAGTTCCTCATGGCTTGGGGTGGATGTATACTTTGGGTCTTTTTGGGGTTTTGGCTTTCATCTTTCAGCTCCTGTGTGACACTTGTAGTACTGATTGATGGTCATCTCCAGTCATGAAGAAGCAGATGTCTCTGCAGCAAAACAAAACTAGTTATCTCCAAGAGATCTATAGCAGCCTTCAAATAAAGGGAGCATGGACAACTTCTAGAACTGACCTATCTTTGCTCAGCCTTTCCTTATTTAGAATATATTCTTCTTCTTTTTTTTTTTTTTCTGAGATAGAGTCTCGCTGTGTCGCCCAGGATGGAATGTAGTGGAGTGATCTTGGTGCGCTGCAACTTCTGCCTCCCTGGTTCAAGTGGTGTTCTCCTGCTTCAGCCTCCCAAGTAGCTGGGATTACAGGTGCATGCTACCATGCCCAGCTAATTTTTTGTATTTTTAGTAGAGACGGGGTTTCACCATGTTAGCCAGGCTGGTTTTGAACTCCTGACCTCAAGTGATCCGCCCGCCTCAGCCTCTCAAAGTGGTGGGATTACAGGTGTGAGCCACCACACCTGGCAAGAATATAGTTTTTACTCATGGCTACGCTGCACTGTGTTCGTTTTTACTGGCTTGTCTTTCTTTGTAATTCTAAAATATTGTCATGTTCAAAGGTTTTAAATTAGACTATAAACACCTCAATATCAGAACTTATTCTCTTCTCTCTCTCCCTTTTGATATCTTGGATATCTTTCCCCATTGTATATCATCTACCGTAACACCACTCCAGACACATTTCTCAACAGAAGTCAACACACAGAAAGAAGTCTAGTTGGCCGGGCGTGGTGGCTCACACCTATAATCCCAGTACTTTGGGAACCGTAGCAGGTGGATCACGAGATCAGGAGATCGAGACCATCCTGGCTAGCATGGTGAAACCCCATCTCTACTAAAATACAAAACGTTAGCTGGACATGGTTGCACGTGCCTGTAGTCCCAGCTACTCGGGAGGCTGAGGCAGGCAGCTAGAACCAGGAGGTGGAGGTTACAGTGAGCCGAGATCATGCCACTGCACTCTGTCTGGATGACAGAGCAAGACTTCGTCTATTAAAAAAAAAAAGGAAGAAAGTGTAGTCTAGATTTATTGGTGATGCATTCATTACAGTAGATCAGAGATGAGAGGGTGGGACAGGTCTGGGCTCTTGTAGTGAGAGATGAATGAGAGTTCCAGAAGGTTTCCAACAACATTCAGTTAACTGTACATGGGTAGAGTTGGGTGCCAGTCTCTCCTTTGATTTTCTAAGTGCACCAGTGTATGTTACTGCCATGAAATTGCACTGTAATATTTTCTAGTTGTGATTTATTCACAGTGTAATATGCTTCTAATTCTGGCTTGAATTTTCCCCCAGGAAGAGCCTAAAATCGCTTCATTATAATATAGACAGTGTACTGCACTTTGAATACAAATTTATCCATGTTCAGAGTAATTTTTCTTGTGATTGTCTCTACCCTGGAGAAGTGCCTTTAATGAATTACATACAAATTGTGTAATTTAAGAAGTTAATTTGGTTTTCTGGTTACACAGGACTAAAAACAGCCCTTGTGGAAAGAGATGATTTCTCATCAGGGACTAGCAGCAGAAGCACTAAATTGATCCATGGTGGTGTGAGATATCTTCAGAAGGCCATCATGAAGTTGGATATTGAGCAGGTAATTGTGTATGCTGGTTGTTAAACAAAAATTGCGACTATGCTTTTTTCTACCCAATTAAATCAGGGTTTTTTTTTTTTTTTTTTTTTTTTTTTCTAAATGGCTTTTAGCATTTCTTTCTGTTGGAAATACCTATTTATTCTGCTGGAATGTCTTTCAGGAGAGGTGTGTCAGTTCTTTCCTGTAGTATTATGTTTATGGGTAATCAGGGGCTTTTTCTTCACAAGCATGTTGAAGTAGCAGATTTACAAAATCACTTTTGGATGTGTTGCCTTTTAAGAATTGTGATTGGGTTTTGGCCAATGGCTACCAAATTACTACTTTGCAAGCACTTTGAGAGGAGCTATCTTGTAATGCAGGGGGAGTGCGAAATTGATCCACTTAACTACAACTGCAGTCACACGCTCATATTGTCACTGACATATTCTGAAGGAAAAGATGATCTGAGTCATGCTTCTCTTATGTCACACTTTATTGTGTCCAGCCTGCCACCATTTGAAAACTGCCAAGGCAGTGTGGAAGATGACATTTCCCAGAGGGGTAAAAAAAAAAAAAATCTGCTGAACTTCCTATCTGCTTTCCGTACATGAAAAACACAGCAGCACTAGCTTGACATTGTCAAGTTTTGAATCTGTCTCCTTTTTTTTTTCTTGACAAGTCAGTTTTGAATCTGTCCCCTTTTCTAATATTTCTCTTCAGTATCATGATAGATGCAAAGAAAACAGCATAGGATTTAGAATCAGCTAACTTGTGATGTGTACAGGCTTATTTACTCAACATCTATGAGTCTGTTTTCTTATTTGTAAAATTAGTGTTCTAATAGCAATGCTGGCTTTTTAGAGAGGCATAATGAGGACTACAGCAGTTAAGACAAAAGCCTGTTTATAATCTGTAAAATGCTGTGTAACTGTTAAGTAGCATCATTGCTTGGTTTTGTGAAGGCAAGACGAAAACTTTTAGCATGAATTTGAACAATCTGTTATCCTACACAGAAAAAATATTATGGGGAACCGAGAAAGGGAGACAATCCAGAGGAGGCAAGATAAATGACTACAATAATCTTGTAACTCAAGTCAGGAAAATATCTTACACCTGGGAACTCTGACAGCATGTTTTTCTCCTATGCAAATACAGTTAAGGTTTCTAAAAAATCTTTGAGGTTGACAGCATGATGTATTATTAGAAATTTGATTAGGAGGGAGCTATCCTCACTCAGAGGTAGAAGGTTCCTGTGTATCAATCAGTTGGCAGGGTGTCTATTTGCCATTTGAAAATATTATGATCTGTTACTGCCAAACTAATTTTCTCTGTTTTGCCTTTCAGTATAGGATGGTAAAAGAAGCCCTTCATGAGCGTGCCAACCTGCTAGAAATTGCTCCCCATTTATCAGCTCCATTGCCTATAATGCTTCCAGTTTACAAGTAAGCCTTTTGATATCACCTGCATGCATATGCTTCTCTGTGTTCCGTAGAACAACATTTTTAATGGAAATAATCCCTCAATGCATATTTTGTAATTTGGTTCCAATTGGTCCTAATCTTTAATCCTTTTTAAATATTTTCCTTTGTTGTAGTTAAAAGTGTAACTTTTCTTAAATTACTCTCTACTCGCCTGTCTCTAGATTTTTAAAGAAGGTCGTGTTCTGTATTTGTAATTAGTAGTTTCTTACTCTAGTTTCTAAAGTATATAGATGAGCAACTGCATTTGTACCAAGGAATGTAAGAGGATCACATGCAGACTGTAAACTGCTGAGCTAAAGTATCCTGTTATAAAATTGAAACATACCATATACCCACTTGAAACCCAAGCCATTTTGAGTCATGTTAAGTGTCCAAGTTAACCAAGGCTGAAATTTGGTTAGGAGTTGTCAGATTATAAATTATAAAACTCAATTTCCCTAATATTGTTAGAGCTATCCATGAAGTTCCCTTACTTTGGAATTCAGGTAGTATGAAAAAGTGGATTACGTAACTGTTTCAGCCACATGAGTGTTGTAGGGGGCCAGAAACAGATTCTTTATAATTTTGTTCACCCTTTGTCAGGGATTGCTTGAAACTTTCTAGGCCGGGTGCAGTGGCTCACGCCTGTAATCCTAGCACTTTGGGAGGCCAAGGTGGATGGATCACCTAAGGTCAGGAGTTCAAGACCAGCCTAGCCATCATGGTGAAACCCCATCTTTATTAAAAAAAAAAAAAAAGACTTTCTGAACCAGTTATTCTCAATCTTGGGTGCACATTGTCATCATCCAGGCCCCCACCCTAGTCTGTCTAGTTAAATCAATCTCTGGATCTATGAGGCATAGGCATTAGTATTTATTTTTAATGTTCCCCAGAGAATTCTAATATTCAGCCAGGTTGAGAACAACTGCCTCAGAGAAGATTCATTTAAAATGTTATTGATTTATTTACTTTTAGACTTCAGCTAGGTTGGTGTCAAATAGTTACATAAATCTGTTTCTTTTACAGTCCACTTCTAAGGTATGCTTTGTTTTTCTTAAATGAAAAGTGTCTTGTAGTGTAAGGTAATATTCAATAATGCTATACTCTGTTTCTAAAGAACTTTCCCCCATTTATGCTGTAGGTGGTGGCAATTACCTTACTACTGGGTAGGCATCAAGCTGTATGATTTGGTTGCAGGAAGTAATTGCCTGAAAAGCAGTTATGTCCTCAGCAAATCAAGAGCCCTTGAACATTTCCCAATGCTCCAAAAGGACAAACTGGTAGGAGCAATTGTCTACTATGATGGTATGTAATATATTTTTTTTCCTTACAAGATACTTTCACTCATGACACTTATAGTATATTCTTAAAGAGATAATTTTGCATCCTTACTTTAAAAATATATCTTACACAACACACAAACGCACTTGCATGTACATATTCACCATTTTCTCTAATAGTGGCTGAAAAACTAACCATAATGTTTTACCTTTAATATTGTTTATATTACATATTTGCTTTCTTCTTCGATTTCTACTTTGTGTCTCATGGTTGGTTTGGTCCATTTCTCTTCATTATGAATTTGGTCCCCACCCTCATGCCATGTAATTTGTTATGTGTTTGCTAGTGAATATTTACCTAATGAATATATTATAATGTTGAAAGCAGCTGAGGATATGTTAGGTTTTCTAGATGAAGCCTCTATTTTCAAGGGGTTATAAACCTAGGGAAAAAATGCCCCCTGGGCTGAAATGGACATGTTTGTATTTTTCACAGGACACAATTCTTGAATGTATAATTTATGTGATGAAGGTAGATGAACATTGCATCTGTTAAACTGTGCTCTCAGTTTTTATTGCTTATTTTATTGTTGTTAGATGTTTTCTAATACTGACATTACCTGGTGCCCATTTACCATGTGTTCAATGTTCATTCTTTTTTTTGCATGTGTGCAATATAATTTTGTACACTTTTATTTGAAGGAACACTTAATATATCTCCAGGTGGACCACAAAATAGTATAAAACAAAACAGCCAAAGCCATTTGTAAAATTTTACTAGTAGTTTTAAAGAGTGCATGGGATTGGAATATAGTCCAAGGGTGTCCATTTATAAGGAAATAGCTGAACACAGATAATTATACATGTTTAAAAAAATTTTATGATGCAGAGGATAGCTTAGATTCTGTATCTCAGTGAGCCCTCACACCCCCATTATATTATCTTTTCTATTTAGTGTTAGTTACCTAAACTCCTAGCAAGAAGAATTTGTTGTTATTGTTTTATTTTTTTCAGGATACTTTGATATTTATACTGCATACTATGGAGTGTCCTCAAGGCTATTACTATGCTTTTTTCTTCTTTTCAGTGGTACATTTCTAAACTAAGTCAGCTGTCTGTCAGGCTTTTATATATAAATGCAAAAAGTATATGTGCAGGGAGGGAAAAGGGGACCAAAGTCAAGAAAATGTCCTAGGAACAACAATATTATAAAAATGTTAAGGGTCTTAGCCAAACATTAAAAGCTAGAAAATTCACTGTTTGTAGTGCCTTCCAGCATCTGAACACCACAGGGGTGCCACTTAACTACTTTTTTTGGTGCCCTTGATTGAGCCTACATGTTAAAGGGCAACCTTAACTGTGAATTTGCTTTCTCTGCATCAGACCCTTAATGTTAATCTATTGTAGTTTATTGGGTGATTATAGTAAAGAGGTTTTTGGTCCAGGAGGAGTAAGAAGGCATTCTGTAAATAGCATCCTGCCCATCCTGACAGGGGAATGTTTGTGGCCTTTCTCTCATTACTAATCCATCCTGCACAAACCCTCTCATATCCTTACTCATTTTCTCTACCCTGTTATGTATCGTGCGCTAACTAATTTTATTTATAAGCTTGTGAATATCTGAATCTTTTAAAAATAAATATTAGTGGCTGGGCAAGGTGGCTCACGCCTATAATCCTAGCACTTTAGGAGGCTGAGGCAGCAGATCGCTTGAGCCCAGTTTGAGACCAACATGGCAAATCCTCATCTCTACTAAAAATACAAAAAATTAGCCAGGTGTGGTGGCATGCATTTGTAGTCCCAGCTACTTGGGGGGTTGAGGTAGCTGCAGTGAGCTGAGATCCCACCATTACACTCCAGCCTGGGGGACAGTGTGAGAGACCCTATCTCAAAAAAAAAAAAAAAAAAAAAAAAGAAGTATTAGTGAATGTCAGACATCCTATCTTACATTGGTTTGGCATTGTTGTGAATTATAGAATCTTACTGATTCTACATGGAGAAGCCAAGGGAAACCTTTGTTACACAATGTAGAAGAAACATTCTCTTAGAATCATGAGGAAAAAGAATTCTTTTTTTTTTTTCTTTTGGGAGATGGAGTCTTGCTCTGTCATCCAGGCTGGAGTGCAGTGGCATGATCTCGGCTCACTGCAACCTCTGCCTCCCGGGTTCAAGGATTCTGCTGCCTCAGCTGGGACTACAGGCATGTGCGACCACGCCCGACTGATTTTTTAAATTTTTATTAGAGACAGGGTTTCACTGTGTTAGCCAGGATGGTCTCGATCTCCTGACCTTGTGATCCATCCACCTTGGGATCCCAAAGTGCTGGGATTACAGGCTTGAGCCACCACCCCCAGCCAAGAATTCTTTAGTCTAGAATTGATCTTTATAGCCTGTTATAGGTTACAAAATTATGAGCTTAGCAAAAGTTTCTGAAAAATTTAAAAGGTATCATTTAAAATGTTTTCAAATTGCTCTTTGGAAATTGGTTGTAAAATCTTAAGTCTTGAACAAAAGGAGTAAAAATAATTATGTTCTACTCATTTGAAATAATTTGTCTTTTGACCTTGTTCTGAAATGGTACAGGCCCAACTATATTGTACTTGAGGTGAGGCAAAACAAGCATGTGCAACAGTGTAGTTCTGTGGTTTTACAACTATATTCACACGTGGGGCAACTCTTATTTTACCTAACATGGTATGATGACCAAATTGAATATCAACATTGGAAATAAGGTGAAGAGGAGCATATAGATAAAGAATTAAATGAGTCAATCCATGCTCAATAAAAGGAGTGAATGCCTTTTTTTTCCTTTGACTGGAAAAATGTTATTACAGTATAATCCTGCTACTAAAGTATTTCAGTGAGGAAAAGTATTTTAATATGAACGTCTATCATTGCAAACCCAAGTCTAAACATTGTAGTTTACAAGGTAAACTTTTCTTAACAAGAAAAATATATATTCTTCTTCATAAATTACCATTATGAGAATAAAGCAGTAGTCACTGAAGTGATTTCAAGGTGCATTCAGGCTTCTTGAAACCATGTTGAGTTTACTTTAAAAATAATGTATTGAGGTGAAATTCATATAACTTAAAATTAGGCATTTTCAAGTGAACAGAAATAATATTTATAACTCCCACCAAGGGAGAATTTTGAATCTTGTGACAAAATGGCATATATAATGAAATGAGCTTTTTGTTTTAATTAATTAATTTTTTTTTTTTTGAGACAGAGTCTTGTTCTGTCACCCAGGCTGGAGTGTAGTGGCATGACCATAGCTTCCTGGAGCTCTAATCTCTGGGGCTCAAGCAGTCCTCCTGCCTCAGTCTCCTGAGTAGCTGGGACTATAGTTAGCACATGCCACAATACCTGGCTAGTTGTTTTTTACTTCTGGTAGAGACAAGGTCTCGCTATATTCCCTCGGCAAGTCTTGAACTCCTGAGCTCAAGGGATTCTCCCACCTTGGCCTCCCAAAGTGCTGGAATTACAGGCATGAGCTACTGTGACTAGATAATCAAATGAACTTTTAATGCGACAAGGTTTTACTAACTAAAAACTCTTATTAGTAATATATTATACACTTATTTCAGCACCAGTGAAAAGTGAAATATGGGGTGAAAATATAGTGGGACAAACTAGTAAACATTGCCATTAATTTGGACCAGGCACTGAGTAGACCTGTGAGGTATCTTCAATACAGAGATATTTGGGCTGTGAGATGTTCCCTCTGAAGTACAAAATGTACAATGATTAAAAAAAATTAATTTCTCATTAACACAGTTCATCCTAGGTAAATTCTGATGGTTATTGCATATGATGAAGGCAAAATCTGTTCTCCCACAAAAGTTCATAGAGGTAGTACAATAAGTTCCATGCACTTTTCCCTCCAACATTTTATATATTTTTTTTAATTTTTATTTTTTGTAGAGACAGGCTGGTCTTGAACTCCTGGTCCCAAGTGATCCTCCTGCCTTGGCCTCCCAAAGTGTTAGGATTACAGGCAGGAGCCACTTCGCCTGGCCCTTCAAACTTTTTGGTGTAGTAATGATAGTTACTATTCTGTGCATGACATAAGTATGATCTGCCATATTTTATTGTTATATTTTATTGCCATATTTTATTGTTAACCACTGAAAACCAAATTCACTCGTATGGAGGAATAACTCATCTTTTTAAAGGCAAACAGAGAGAATGTCAAATTTCTCAGTAAAATCCACATGAAATCAAAGTTGGGATAGTAAATGACATACCAGTTTTTCCTCCAGTTGTATTTCCTTCTTGTATTTTGTTAATTATATGGTCAACTCACTGGATTTCTGACTGAGACATCCTAGTATTTTCTAACTTGCCTAGCAGAGACCCACAGCTGGACCCATGGCCATTACTGCTGATATGGGAGTTACTAAGTAGAGTATGATGACCAGGGCAACTTTCCCAAGTCAGAAGAAAGTGTTTAGAGCATGTTATGCTTGTGTGACTTGGCAGGCTGTGAGATTATGTGAACGAGCTGTTAGGGGTAGCCAGTTTTCTCAGGAACTTATTTTTTTTTCCCTCTGTTAGTTTCCAGAGTGGATCTTTGGAGCTATTCTGGTTAGACACCAGTCATCCAATCTAGTACACAGAAAATGAGCTATCATTAAAAATCATCAAATATTAAAAACCATTAAATACCTCCATTAAGCCATTACAAAATGAAACTGAAGAACAAAATTACAGCTTTAAATTCTTCCTTTCTGCGAGTCGAGAGATTGACAGAGATGTCTGTTGTTTTATACCCAGTGATGCCTCTAAGTATTCCTTACGCATATATGAAAATAGCAACTATAAGAAATTACATTGCCTTTTCCTAATGTAAATAAAAGTGGGTTACATCCATGTTTCGAAGGGGGAATTAAAGCCCAGGTTTCACTAGAATATTCATTTTTATTCCAACCTAAAACTCATAGCATACAAATAGATGAATTCAGCTCGTGAGAGAGCAAAGCCAATTTAATCTCTGGCTCCCCTGAGGTAAATGTAGTTCAC